GGGCCCCCCCCCCCCCCCCCGCGGAGCCCCCGTGTACCCCTCGGAAGCAACAACTGGGAACCCCCGCAAGCGTTCATCAACCCCCCCCCCCCTTCATCCCAACCCTCGTGCCCGTCCCAGATCGAAGAAGTACAGTCGACAACCAAAGCCCAGCGAGTGGCCGTCCACACGCACGTCAAGGGCCTGGGCTTGAAGGAGAATGGCGAGGCGATGGGCGTAGGCGCGGGTCTCGTCGGGCAAGAGAAGGCCCGAGAGGTAAGAATATCGGAAACAAGAAATGTTGTTGTTGTTGTTGTTGTCGTTGTTGTCGTTGTTGCTGCTGCTGCTGCTGCTGCTGGTGATGGTAATGGTAGTGGTGGTGATGACGGTGAGTTTAGTTATCCATGTCGGAGGCAACGGATTATGGATGTCGATGTTGTTGTTGCTGATCGTGGTGGGGTGGTTGTGGTGCGTTATGCAGGCAACGGATTGTTGTTGTTGTTGTTGTTGCTGCTGCTGCTGCTGATGCTGCTGCTGATGCTGCTGCTGATGGCGAGTTATCCATGTCGGAGGCAACGGGTTACGGATGTCGATGTTGTTGTTGCTGATAGTGGTAATTTGATTGTGGTGAGCTGTCCATGTCGGAGGCAACGAATTTGTGTTGCTGGTGGCGGTGGTGGTGACTGGTGTCTTGGCGTTCCAAAGCGCTTTTTACCTCTGCCCAGCACCTCCACGATACCCGAACAGACCCTATAGATGAGAGAGAAACGCACGGATCCCGGTGGCCATCGCTAACCGGGACAATTCTCCCCGCCACTCGCGAAAGGAGTAGAGCATGGCATCGTGAGAGAAGGGCACGTTCATCTCGTGGCCGTGCGGCAGCAGGGCATCTTTGGCCATGGCATTGCTACGTGACAGCCGGGAAGAAACGATTCTGTTGCTAACGTCTGTCGGCCATCGACGCGCAACCAAGACCAACAACGGCCCGTACTCATGGCTGCTCGCATGCCTTCTCGGCGAATCGCATAGCGTGTTGTACCACCCCCCCCCCCCGCGACGTCGATCGACAGAGCACACGCGTTTCTCGGTCGTCTTGTTGCCGTCTTCTTGAAGTAATTGCCTTGCATGGGAAGCCACACACAGAGTCCACACATACAACCACATTCCAGCATTTGACGGAGTCTGCATCAATGTCATCACCACACCCTCGTGTCTATGACCAATAAAGTATTGTAACACAAGCATATGTCTGGGGTCTCAGCATGTTTGTTGAGTCTAACCAAGGTTATCGCAGCACTCTCGTCTCTGACCACAAAGGCACAATTTCTTCGCGTGTGTTTTCTCTCCAATGTGTTAGGTAAACGTGTTGCTTCACATGTGTTTTTTTTTTGCCTCCAATATGTTACGTAAACGTGTTGGTGTGTTGTTTTATCGCGATCCAGGCGGCGGGGGTGGTGGTGGACCTGATTAAGGCGAAGAAGATGGCGGGGAGGGCCTTGCTGCTGGCGGGAGCGCCCGGCACCGGGAAGACCGCGCTGGCTCTCGGGGTTTCGCAGGAGCTAGGGCCAAAGGTACGGCTCTCGTCGTTGTGGTTGTCGTTGGTGGTGTTCGTGGTGTGGTGGTTGGTGGTGGTGGTGGTGATGGTGGTGGCGGCGGTGTCGTTGATGTTGGTGGTGTTGTTGCTGCTGGTGTGTTGTTGTTGTTGTTGTATTTTCCCCTTCTGTTCCAGGCGGCTGTTCGACTTTGAGAGTCTTGCATGCATGTTCTTTGAAGCAGCTGCAGCATTCTTTCCAGCAGCAAACAACAACTGCAACTACAACTGCAATGATGTTCGTGAACATAGGTGCCGTTCTGCCCGATGGTGGGGTCCGAAGTGTACTCGAGCGAGGTCAAGAAGACGGAGATCTTGATGGAGCACTTCCGCAGAGCCATCGGACTTCGAATCAAGGAAAATAAAGAGGTAGGGGAGGCATCGCTGTAGTCTGTGCTGCTCTTTGGTTCGGTTTGGTTAGGTATGGTTAGGTTTGGTTCGGTTTGGTTCGGTTTGGTTCGGTTTGGTTCGGTTGGATATGCCGCTCGGGGTATTCGTAGACCCACAGGTGGCTTCCGCTGATGTTATGAGTTCATGGCTAGTCTATCCCGTCTGCGTCCCATCTGTGGAGGAGATGGAATTGTTGCGTCGTAAGTAAGAAAAACAACAAAGAGAGGCGAGAAGCGAATGCAGAAACCGGCCGCCGCAGCCGCAGCGGCGGCGGCGGCGGCGGCGGCGGTGGCAGCGCTTGACGAATGAGCCTGGCGGGCAAGCATATCGGCGACGTTGCGCCAGGGAAGGGTTGGGGCGGTCGCGGCCGCGAGTGATTCCCCTCGTTCGTCCAGCACCCGCCCGCAGCCATAGACTAGTGCGTGTTCGTGAGCCGTCCTGAGGGGAAGGGGGTCAGCGAACGAAAGTTTCTCGCGGTAAGATTGGAGGCATAAATGGCACGGGATGATTCCCCTTTTTTCGAACCCCAGGATCGGAGCTCTCTCTCTCTCTCTCTCTCTCTCTCTCTCTCTCTCTCTCTCTCTCTGTGTGTGTGTCTCTCTCTCGAGTGGGTGAGAGATACGGAGTACTCTGAAAAGGTGGTCGAAGGTACGCGTTGCGCTAACCCGCCGCCGACGGTGTCCAATGGCTTGTCTTGAAAGGTTGCAGACTCCTGTGCATCCATCTCTACGGGAATAGGCGGCAGTCGTAACTTTTTATCTCCAGTGGCGTGATTTCACGAGCCTCATTTGATCTATTTTTGCACCGAATACTGTGTTGTAGTGAGACCCTCTTTTCCTTTCTGTACGAAACGATTGATTTCGACAGCGTGAAGAGGGCGACCCCTTTGTACGGAAAAATGTCTTTCCGTCCTTTCTTCTTTGTACGGAAAAAAGTGGTACATAAATCCATCATTCCTTCCAGCACCAAACGATCCGTCTTTCCTTCTTTGTACGGAAAAAAGTACATAAAATTCATGTTTCCTTCCAGCACCAAACGATTCGTCTGTCCTTCTTTGTACGGAAAAAACTACATGAAATTCATCTTTCCTTCCAGCACCAAACGATCCGTCTTTCCTTCTTTGTACGGAAAAAAATACATGAAATTCATCTTTCCTTCCAGCACCCAACAATTGCGTCTTTCCTTCCAGCACCAAACGATCTGTCTGTCCTTTCTGCGCGAAACGACTAATTTTGATGGGGTGAAAATGACAATAAAAGGTCTACGAGGGAGAGGTGACGGAGCTAACGCCGGAGGAGACTGAGAACCCGCTGGGTGGATACGGCCGGACCGTTTCCCACGTCGTGATCGGCCTCAAGACCACGCGAGGCTTGAAGCAGCTCCGGTGAGAGACGGACGGGGAAAGATGAGAGAGAGAGAGAGAAAAAGGGGGGGGGGGGGGGGGGGGTTGAAAAAAAGAAAAAAAAAAAAAGGGAAGAA